TTTATCTGTTGTTTTAAAGTAAGAGTTTTCCCGAATTGAGCCGAGCCAAGCCTTAACGTCGTGATGAACACTATCATCTAGATTATTGAAGTGGTCATAAACAAGATAGTTTAGAGTACTTGCAATAATATCCTTTAGATTTAATTCAGAAGATGCAGACCTTTCCCCATAGCGTTTGAATTTCGTCAAAAACTTCTTAAATTTTTTGGGAGGCGTTCTTTTGTAGAGAAAGTTAAAGAAGTTTATAAAATTTGTGTTCCGATTGTCAGCTCTCGTGCTGTTTAATGTCCGCAGAAATTTCTTCGTACGGACCCGCAGTAACTGTACCGGTGCTTGATTTATCTTGTTCAAAACTTCAAATACAATGTATCTCAGGTCCTCATTGTCCAATAACTCATTGAATTTGGATTTTTTATTTCGTTGGTTGCGTATTTCATCATACAATGTTTTAAAAACTTCTTTATAATCATTATCATCGTATGAATTTAGCGTCGTTATCAGCTCTTCTAGAAAGTCACGGAATTCATATTTAACGTCTCGAACTCGACCAGCGCGCAAAGCAAGTTTCTTGCCGACGACATTTTCTATTTTATTGAGGAAATTGCGCACTTTTTCTATTATTTCGACGTCTTGTTTGTTGTTGAATTCAAATGTGGTTTCTAAAGCTACGTTCACACTTCTGGGTTTTGATGCTAATGTCTGTACTGAAAATAAACAAGCTTAAATGTTAAAACGATAATTTAAAAAAAACCCCGTCTGCGTAAAATAGTTACTGAAAATAGTAATTTTTTATATACTATGTCACTTATACACATCTAAGACGATCTTAACCATATCCCATATTTAAATAAAACTAGTTTTACGGATTTTATCACGTATATTAACTTAACGTCACGATTATAAAATAAAGTTAATATACGCGATAAAATCCGTAAAACTATTTTTATCTGGGGGCACGGCAGTGCCCCCGCCAAGTCGGGCAAAAAAGCAGCACGGCCGTACCACCCTTTTCTCGAAGCAGTTCAGGCCATTTTCTAAACCCTATAACTTTGTTGTGGATAAAACTAGAAACCTGAATTTTCAGCAACAAGTAGGCATTGTAATAAACTCGGTATATTTCAAATTTCATTTAATTTGAACCAGTAGCTTAAGGTGAAAGCTCCAGGGTGGCCCGCGAAATTCAAATTTTCTTACGTTTTTTGTACTTTGCAGGTCAGGGTCAGGATGTTTAACAGAGAAGGTTCAGAATAAGTAATTTAGGCAAATAGCGAAGAAAAATTAATTTAAAAAATCTCAATAATTCTCTTCTGTTTATCTTTTAAATTCAAAATGCGTAATTCATTATTTTAACTGATTTTACTGCGCACACGCACATTCCTAAAGGTCGATCGGCAGGCAAAAACGTTATTACCCATATTCAATTTGGGATAATTTCAAATAAAAGTAGAATAAAGAACAGATATTTACTCGTATTTTCAAAAACTGCAATAACGGTATATCATTATTTATATACGTATTTGAACTTACGTTTAAAATAACTCTGTATACTTGCTACAACATACATTACCTTTTTTTTATAGAACAATGGTGACAAACGAGCACACAGTCCACCTGATGGTAAGTAGTTGCTGCCACCCATAGACATCTACATCTATCCTCTATTACAAATCAAAATGTAGATGTGTTGTCACCCGTGAGAACTAAGATGGAATGCCTCATTTCCAGTAAAAAGGGCCTCCGGCCACCTGCACTAACCAAGCAAAACGCAGAGGTAAATCTCTACTTCACGCTGGTTTTCTGTGAGGTCGTGGTACCACCCCGGTTCGAGCCGGCCCATCCGTGCGACAGCAAAAGCTGCCGCGTGGCTCTACCACTGTTAAAGAAACCTACTATTGTCTTACTATTGTGTATAAAAATCGAACAGTGAAGTGTTAAATTACTCTCCTCTTCAACGCGTAAACTCGCTCCTGGATATTTAACGTTCCCATTGTAAGGAAATTTCGCAATAATCCGCTTACTTGATAGACGGATTAGTGACCACAGTATACAGATCTCACTTTTTATTTATTTTTTTATTTTAAAAAAAGTTACCCCCACACTAGGATTCTCTCCTGTATCGTGGAGGCTATTTACCAACACAAATTTCACAAGGACAAACATCCGGACCCGGAACAATAATTTGTAGGCCATACAAATACTTGTTCCGTGTGGGATTCGAACCCGCGCCCCCCAGTGCAGCAACTCATTGCTAAGCCACTGCGCCACGGAGCCGTCACTTTGACGCTGCTCTCTGGATTAAACTTTTTTTAAAGGCGTAAACGGAATGACTACACGCGCATCTATCGGAAGCCTTTCTGGAATCTCCCATAGTCGTCCAATAGACGAATAGGGCTCATGTAAAATTTGATATTACCCAGCCCATTTTATATAGTCGTGTAGTGGCGATGTAAGAATATCCACTATCCCATATCGTCCCGTGGGTGTCGCAAGAGACGACAGTGGGATAAACCAGAAGATATAACAACTAAAAAATTAAAACCTGCGGTTGCCATCCCGCCTACCGTGTGGCAACTATGGCAAGTATAAGGCAACCCATGGGAGAGCTCTATGTCCAGCAGTGGATATAGGCTATAACAATTCCATACAAATATTTCTTCCGAGGGCTATTCGAATCCGTGGCCCTGCGGCATTGCGATTAAACAATGACCCTCTACGCTTTTTTTATAGGATAAGGGTGACAAACGAGCACACAGTCCACCTGATGCTAAGTGGTTGCTGTGGCCCATAGACATCTACATCTATCTTCGTTTGCGAATTGAAATGCAGATGCGTTGTCACCCGTGAGGACTAAGATGGAATGCCTAGTTTCCAGTAAAAAGGGTCTCCGGTTCTCTACACTCACCATACGAAACACAGCAGTGTTAAGCTGTTATTTTACGCTGGTATTCTGTGAGAGCGTGGTTCTTCCCCGGTCGAGCCGACCCATTCGTGCCGACCCATTCGTGCTGCAACCATAATATAGCTGCAGCGTGGCTCTACCACTTTAAACATTGCTAGGACATTGTCAAAAAAATAAATAAATCAAAAAGTAAGCCCGAAAAACGCACGTTACAATAAAGGATATAATTTACCATAAACTTGCAACAGAATATAACACAACTCACTTCGCATTTTAATATTGGACTACATAAAACTATAAAATATTTGAACATAATTCAGTCGTAAACTTTATCGGAATGTAGACGTTGCTATACTCCTTTGCGAGTTACCTTTACACACTTTCAAATAACTTCGTTCTTTGTTTACCAATACATATGTGTATGGATACATCTTATAATATAAAAATGAATCGCTGAATGTGTTGCTAAGCGCAAATCTCGAGAGCAGCTGAACCGATTTCGCTAATTCTTTTTTATAATATTCCTTGATAATACGAAGATGGTTAAAAATTTAAAAAATTGCCTGAAAAAGTTTATAAAAAACACTTTTCTATATTCCCCTACAAAAGATTCGTAATAATACTTAAAAGTTAATACCATACCATAAAGTTTAAGTGTTAGTGGAGGGGTTCCGGGAAAGCAAAACAATTGAGTGACGTTAGTATCGTATAAATATTAATGTCAATATTTGTCAATGTTTATACACACTGGCAGATGTAGCAGGCAGGAGTAACTTGGGATGCTTTTATTTTAGTGTTCCGCGAAAAATAACTCCACGAGGGCGAAGTCGCGGGGAACATCTAGTAATATGTAAAAACAAATAAAAAATTTAATATATAAAGAAGGCACAATAACCAGTCTTGCTCTTGTCCCTTTGGAAACGATTTCTTCCAGTTCACAAGGAATGATGTAAAAGGAAATGTACAATGTACATAATTATATTAAAATATGTTATTAAATTAAAACAATAAAATCGAGATATTGACAGTTGAGGACTAATGATAATGTCCTCCAGACCGAGCCATCTGCGTTAACTATAGTGCTGGAGTGTATGCGCAAGCACAGGTGCACTCTCTATTCGCTCACTCTCATAGTCCGATGGGACGGCTCCGACACGACCGGAGAGAGAGATCGAAACATCACCAACTTCCTGACTCCAGGCTCCAGCTACTGAGAATTTCTTAACAGAAAACACAATAACTTATTTTTTTTAACCCGACCCGAGATTCGAACCCGGGACCTCATGGTCAGCAACCGCGTTTACGACCACTAGGCTAACGAGGCAGTCGAGATAAGGAATAGAAGATAACTAGAATAAAATACAAGAAAGGATGCATCGACGGGAGGTATTCAAATTTAAAATTAAAAATGTTGTACAACCGACTTCAATATAAATTATTAAGAATAACTCAAAAACTATTGGTCAGACCTTGATCCAATTTAAACGGGACCACATGTGAAGCACTAGTTTTCAAATAAAAAAAGAACCGTCGAAATCGGTTCAACCAGTAAAAAGTTATGAGGTAACACACAAAAAAAAACACAGTCGAATTGAGTACAGTCTCCTTTTTGAAGTCGTCAGAAAACAATTATTAGGACCTGGGACATATAAGCCTCAAACCGTATATTATGCATTCATATAGGGTATACATTCGTCGGCTTTAAAAAGTAATAAATTTGAATTATAAAATTTCCTTTATTAAATATTCACTTACATTTATTAAAGCTTTTATACAATATTTATTAAAATATGTTAAGATATGTCAGGACGTTCCACTGGATAGGCAAACTATTCATCCAATATTTTAAGGGTAACATATCAATGTAAGTATGTATTTTACACGTCAAAACACGAGCAAGCATATCGACCACATATCACATAAAACTAAACCATCACAAATTCCAAATTTATTAGTATAAGCGCTCAGTTAGCACTATTATTTCCGAAGAACTCCCAATCGAAGTAACCTCCACACCAATAACGCTTCCACAGCGTTTCCTCGTACATTTCCCACTTGGTCCTTCGAGCCGGAGCCGAACTCGCTACAGCTGATAGCTTCATCAGCAGAAACAGTAGTCTTTGCTCTTAGCTTTAAATGCCGCTTCTTCTTTGGCAAGCTGCACTCGCATCTCTTCTACGTTCTTCATGACAGACACGTCCGCTGCGCAGTCGTCCACAATCTTCTGAAATAGTTCCTCTGGAAACATTGATACAAATTAGAAATTTCTCTCACTCTTACTTAACTATCACGTGTGCACGCCGTTCATACTATTAAATGTTAGTTGATATTTAATTTTGGTTTATACAGGATTATTTTGCAATAACTGGCCAAAGAACAATGGCAGACTTTCATACATAAAATTAGTTGAGAAGAAATGGTAGCGTCTATATACCAAAAATATCTTAAAATGTTAAGCCTCAGTCCCTTAATAACTCTGTCAAAGAATTTTGTACTGAGAAGGCGTCAAAAAAAGATATTTACATTTGAACTTTTTAGGTTATGTCCTATGTCACATGGAAAAAGTCATGCTTCCTGTGGTTGTTTGATGTTAGCTTAATACATAATACATAATTGAGAGTTTTTAGATTATTGTATCTCTATTATATATTTGCAAACTATAAATGTATGTTTCTGGCATGGCTCTGGGTCTTTTGTATCATAATGACATTCTCAGAAGGGCTAGAACCCAGAGCCGTAAAGCCAGTAAAAAAAAACAGTGACATTTTATTTTAGCTAGTGTTTGCATAACATTAAATGGAATTGTTACATAGTACTATGATTGAGATAATGTATTATTGTAGGAAATTCTTTGTAAGAGACTTATTCTCAGCCATATCACTTTTATTTTTATTATTATTGATAGTACAGTTATTACTAATAATAACTTAATATAAAATTATTTTGTGTGTTGTGTTGGTAGTCTTACAAAGTATATACGAAAATAGTATAAATATACTAAATGGTAACATTTGAATAGAGTAAAATGATTTAAGTCATTTGATATTCCCAAAAATGTTAGTTTTTTGCTGTGGCTTTAATTAAAATACATTTTTATTTGAAAAATCATAGAAAAATAATAAAACTAATTTTATATATAACTTATTTCTAGACGCTATAATTTTTTTCAACTATTTTTCTGCCATTGCTCTTTGCACAGATGGTTTAGAATAAGTAATATAGGCAAATGGTGAAAGAAAAATTCTCAAACATTCTATCCTTTTTATCATTTATATTCAAAATGCGTGATTTATGCATTATATTAATTGATTTTACTGCGCACGCACACATTCATTAAGGGTCGATCGGTAGGCAAAAATTTTGTTGCCCATAAATCACATTAAATTTTGGATAATTTCAAATAAAAGTAGAAGCCGTATTTATTTATTCGTATTTTCAAAAACTGCAATAACGGTATCATTATTTATACATTTGAAATTAGGCTTAAAATTGGGCTACTCCTTGAAAAATAACCTTAATTAATAATTACACGCTAAGTCAAAGCTTAAATCTTTTTTTAATTATCTAAGCCAGTGTTTAACTACTATCCCATCTGGTGGTTAGTGATCATGCAGCCAAAGATGGTAAAGTCCACAGACTTAACTGAACAAAAGCCTATTCACTCTTGCCTTGAAGAAACATTGTAATCGGATCATTTACTTTTATCTGCTGGCCGTAGGCCTTCGGATAAATTGGATTTAAGAGGGGATATTTACCACGGTAGTCGCGCTTGGTAGGTAGGTTGGCAGCGGCAGTTTATTTTTTAATTATATTAGAAAGACACTACTAACCACCATGGTCTCGTTGAGTATAGTGCTTGAATGATGTACTCGCCAACTAATGTTAATACCGTATCCTTTCCAGTCCAGTAGCTTGAAAACGTCTTCCAATGCAGCGGCGAAGAGTTTCGAGGATATAACGTCACGCTGACTTACACCTCTCTGCAGTTGGATAGGTTTCGTACTCTGGTTCTACCCTACTGTACAAACACTTCAGCACTTCGCTATACCGACAGTCAACTTGGCACCACTGAAAGCACTGCAGCACCGCCCAAATTTTGACGGAATCAAAGGCTTTTCTCATAGTCCACATACGAGGCTGATTGTACTCCTCTCTCTTCTTTACAATTTGCCGAAGAGTATATATGTGGTCTATTGTGCTAGTCTTTTCGATGACCAGCTTTTCGGGAGGCTGGAAGTCGTCGAGTCTGAGTGCGAGACGAATCGTAATGACTCTAATAAATGTAAAAACTAACCCGCGGTTACCAACGCATCTACCACGTGCAACTACTTTGGTAAATATCCCCACTTAAATCCAATTTATCCGAAGGCCTACGGTCAGCAGATAACTTCTGTCGGCTCTTAAGACACACGAGACAATATAGGGTTGTAAATATTCTTACACCGCCACTACATGATGTCCCATATTCAATCATACTTAAAGATAATTTTAGGTTCAATAAATGTTGTTAATAATTCTACCAATAGCAAACCATTACGTTCACACGTCATCATTGTAACAATCAACGGCCATTTAATTACGTACCTGTATTTTTGAACACTCAAACTGTTAGCACGTTCTCAAATATAATATTTTTTTATAAAACTAAAGTGGGGACCTTACAGCACACCTGGTGGGTAAGTGGCTACAGGAGACACCTGCAACTAACTTCAAGCAAAGAAGACTACCGATGCGTTGTCACATACGAAGACTAAGGCAGAATGCAGACGGCTCAGTGGCGCAGTGCCTTAGCAACGACTTGCAGCGCTAAGGGCCGCAGGTTCGTATCCCGCACGGCACAAGAATTTGTATGGCGCACAAATGATTGTTCTGGGTCTGGATGTTTGTCCTTGTGAAATTTATAATAATATTATATGGCCGGCCCATTGCCACTTCAGCTTACTAATCCGTTGGGCTATGTCAGTCACTCTGGTTCTACTGCGGATATCCTCATTTCTAAGTTTATCACGCAGACAAACCCCTAGCATAGCCCTCTCCATAGCTCGCTGAGCGACCTTAAGCTTCCTCATACGGCAGCAGTGAAGGACCACGTCTAAGATCCATAAGTCACAAGCAACACGCACTGGTTGTAGAATCTCGTTTTCAAGTTGGTGTACCTGACGAGAAGATGCGTAATCTCTCGAACGCTACCCAACCGAGTTGAATCCGTCGATTGACCTCTCGGTCGAAGTTGGACTTACCTAATCGGACTATTTGTCCCAGGTAAACATACTCGTCAACAACTTCAAGCTTACTACTCCCAACAACTACCGACATTGGAGTGACATGGACGTTACACATGACCTTTGTTACGTCCACGTTCATCATAAGACCTCTCCGTTGGGAGGCACTATTGAGGTCATTGAGCGTAGTGCTTGAGTGATGTACTCGCCATTCATGTTAATACCGTACCCTTTTTAGTCCAGTAGCTTGAAAACGTCTTCCAATGCAGCGGCGAAGAGTTTCGGGGATATAACGTCACCCTGACTTACACCTCTCTGCAGTTGGATAGGTTTCGTACTCTGGTTCTATACTCGGATAGCCATTGTAGCCCTTCTGTACAAGCACTTAAGCACTTCGATATACCGACAGTCAACTTGGCACCGTTGAAGGGACTGCAGCACCGCCCAAATTTCGACTGAATCAAAGGCTTTCTCATAGTCTACATACGAGCCAGATTGTACTCCTCGTTCTTCTGTACAATTTGCCGAAGAGTGTCGAATATATGTGGTCTATGGTGCTAAAGTCTTTTCTGTAACTAGCCTTTCGGGAGGCTGGAATCGTCGAGTCTACGTGCGAGACGATTCATAATGACTCTCAAAAACAGCACGTAGACACGGTTCAGAAGGGAAATCAGTCTATATCATCAGTCAAATCACCCACATCATTTTTGAATAACACGACCACCGCACTTCTGCTCCACGCCTCCGGAGTAGTGCCACCATGGAGGACGTGAATTAAAGGACTTCGTGTACCGGTTTTCCACCCGCTTTCAGAAGCTCTGCTGTAATTCCATCCTCGTCCGGAGACTTGCGTTTTTAAGGTGCTAGAAAACCGTTCTAATCTCGTTTAGACTGACGTCCGGAATATCATCGAAATAGAGTCGGATAAGACTTGTTCTCGGATCGTTACTGACACTTTCGTGTGGCTCCAACGATGATGTGTACAGCTACCCATACAACCTCTCAATCTCACTCAAAATCTCAGGTGTCCCGGAAACAATGCTGCCAGATTCGGTATTCAGCTTCGACAGTTGGCTCTTTCTGGCACAAATCTCTGGCTAAGACTTTGGAGCCCTGGTTTCGCTGGATCGCTTCTTCAATACGAACTGTTGCGTAAGTCCCGCCGCATGCATTTGGAGATCTGTCTCTTCAGTTGCCTGTATGCTGTCAAATCGGCTGAAGACTTCAGCTTTGTCTCCCATCTAACAGCCATGAGATTAAGAGTGTTATCGGAGAATGGCTGAACCGATTTTGACGGAACTTTCACCGGCTGGTTAGCTGATGTCATAAGGAATAACTTAGGCTACTTTTATTTAAGAAAAAGAATTAGGGTTCCGCACAAAAAAATAAAACCCATGAAATCCAATCCTAATAAATTCCGCGCGGATCGCAGCTACAATTATAATAACCCTCTTTAAACAATCTTTGTTAAATAAAATTTTTAAACTTGCCGGAGTCAGATTTTGTATACTTATTTATAATTGATAGAATTAAAAAAGCTGATCTACATCTACACTACTATTATAAAGAGGAAAGATTTGTTTGTTTGTTTGTTTGAATTGAATAGGCTCCGAAACTACTGGACCGATTTGAAAAATTCTTTCACCATTAGCATCCTACATTATCTCTGATGAACATAGGCTATATAATATTTTCAAGAAAGTTAGGGATCCGTATGAAAACTTCGTTAATGTAACCCAAGGTGTGAAAAAAATACCAAAAAGAATCCTTATATCGCGTACGCTGCGGAAACTATTGATAATAGAGCAAAGTAATGTACTTCAGTTTTATAAAGGATATCAATATAAATATAAATATCTGCAAAAAGCCTGCGATACCATGTATAAACTATTACAGTTATGTCACAATAACTACTTTTTCATGTTAAAATGTGAAATAGTAACGCCGGTACAAAATAGGCCACATTATTCGTATCAGTACCTGTATCATGCATAACCACCAATTACGTTAACCATGTAATTTTAGTAACATATTTCACATTTTAAATCTTTGTTAATTCAGCAACCGTCCGTCGAGATGTTTCTCTCGAAGTTCGCATGTCGCAAGTTGCAGACGCGTGATATACGCGGGTGAAACCGCGGGGCACAGCTAGTAATTAATAAAGGCATGTCGAAGACAAGACACTCACCGACATTCTCGCCGGTTTTGCTGGACGTCATAAAATGCCCACTCAGGCCTTGGGAGTACGTGGCCACAATATCCTCCGGGACCTCCCGGACGACAGCGCCAGAGTCGAGAAGGTCCTTTTTGGTGGCGCAGAGGTAGACTTTGCAGTCCTGTTTCAGTTTTTAAATTTTATTTTCATTTTTACAAATTTTTAGGAGCTCACTAACCAACCGGGTTCGATCATCGTCGGCAGCAATTACATTTATAGTTAGAACTTTAAGTGCTCATTTACCATGCGCTTGGCGATGGAAGAAACCGTCGTGAGGAAACCTGCATGCCTAGGGAATTAAATATATCGCGGACTTGTGAAGTCTGCCAACACACACTGGAGCATATATATATCAACTGCTCCAAGCAGTACTCAATGGGCAATGGGCTGGGAAGCTTTAGTTGAAGATATAATATTATCTCCCATTCTTCTTCTGCAGCGTGTAACGTCCTAGGAGCGATATTTACATAACTGCCTCGCTTGGCTAGCGAGTCAGTTGTTTCATAATATGGTTGTCATTACGAAGACGCTTTTTTTAATAGAATAAGGGTGACCGACGAGCACACAGTCTATTTGATGGTAAGTTGACACTGTGGCCCATAGACATCCTTACCTTACCCCAGACTTATCCTCGATTATGAATAAAAATGCAAATACGTTGTCACCCCCGAGGACTAAGATGAAATGCCTCATTCCAGTAAAAAATTTGATAATAAATATGTGTTACCTCTTCCACAGTCCTCAGTTCTTGGAGCCAATGCCTCAACCGTGTCCACGAGGCAAGACAAGACGGCTCGTAGCATATTATAGCGGCGTGGGCTCCTCTATAATACATCTTTGTCATTGCTTGATATCTGTAATCCATACACAACATATTTTTTATACGGGCTTATTTACAATAACCGGCCGCATAGAATTGCAGAGAAAGTACGGAATAAGTAATATAGGCAAACGGTGAAAGAAAAAATTATTAAAAAAATCTCAAACATTTTGTCTTTTCTATCTTTTAAATTCAAAATGCGTGGTAATGCACTATTTCAACTCAATTTACTGCAGGGTTGGCTGATTTAAATTAGACTGATTTAAATCAACTTGTATTAATTAATGTAATAGACAGAAAATGAAATAAAACTGACTTAAAATAAGGTAAAATCTTTTATTGTTTTATGTTATTCTTATTATTCTACTACAATAGTCTCATAAACTTTGGAAAATCAACAAAGACATAGCGATGAGGTCTGTCAGTCTCACAGAGTACCTTTATATATACGTCAGTCTCATAAACTTAGTAACATCAACCAATTTTTTTTTTAAATTCACCCTTAAGATATGACCTGTAATTAATACTGTATTAATTATTTTACTCTTAATCAGTCTCATACATATGTATGTATTCATAAACTTTTAATCCTTCTATGTCAAAAAGTGTTACCAACTCGTGAATTTCCAAATATACAAAAAGAATCAAAAAAGTCAAAAAAATCATGATTTTTTCTTAAAAAAAATCTGCATGATTTGATTAAAATTAAAAAAAAATCACGATTTTTTCTATCCCTGTTTTACTGCGCACGTAAACATTCGTAAGGATCGATCGGTAGGTAAAAACGTTGTTGCCCATAAATCACATTCAATTTTGGATAATTTCAAATAAAGATAGAAGCTTTATTTACTCGTATTTTCAAAAACTGCAATAACAGTATATCATTATTTATATATTTGAACTTAAGATTTAAATTAGGCTACTCTTTGATAAATAACTGAGACCACATGAGAAGCACCAGCTTTCGAATAAAAAAAAATCATCGAAATCGGTTCACCCAGAAAAAAGTAAGAGACCTCCTCCTTTTTGAAGTCGGTAGAAAATAATGATTTATTACTGAAACAAAATGATTACCTCTCACTGCCTGCTGTATCCCAAATGCCAATATTGAAATCCTTTCCATTGGAGTGCATGGTTTTAGCGCAGAAAGCTGCACCAATGGTCTGAAAAGTCAACATTTTATAAAATAATATAAATTCATGTGAGCTCCACAACCGGAATTCATAGAAAATCTGTAGTTTGAACTCGAAGTTCAATGTGAAAATTTGGTTCTAGACCATAATAAACTCAAATTTTGACATTGTAAAGTTTGAGTTCATACTCCAGACTGTCTCTGAATATCGGCCTAAGAGTTTTATTCTTACATTGTCACATAATATGTTAAAAAATTTAAATAATGGATAGAAAAGTCCAAGCGTTACATTCCCAGCTGATTTCATTTAATGTATAATTGTGTGTAATTTGATCAATGTGTTTGTAAACTACAGTGTAAACTCTATATAACGACACTCAGGGGACTGTGCATATTTTGACGTTATATAGAGTTGTCTTTGAATGGAACGAAGAAAAGTCTGTATTAAAAAATGAAAGTTTATTTCAGACCAGTGTTAGTAATTATATAAAAACAATTGTTATTTGAAGGCTATTGCGTATTATCTACATCTATTTGCCATGTTTACAGTTTGAAAGTCTGTGAGCAATTTAGAATATGATAACATATAGATAATCCATCCTACTCCTACTCACAACAGTCAGTCAAACAGCAATTTGTAAACAAAACAACAGATTTCTTAGAGTTTGGTATGTATAATGGGGACAGTCGAGTTTATTAGGGGTTAGGATAATAAAACAACAAAAGAACAAAAGAATGTACATAACTGTGCAGTTTTTACTAATTTTTGCAACTTAAAAAGTACTTTTTATTATTTAACTGTTGTTGATATTGAGCATGGGTGTAATGCTATATAGAGTGTATTATTGTATGGAAGACAAGCTAAACAAACCCAAGCCGAGTGATTTCGACGCCTAATGGAGTTTGTCATTAAATCGAGTGACGTTACATGGAGTTTACGCCGTAATTTTTTTTCTTTTATAGGATAAGGGTGACAAACGAGCACACAGTCCACCTGATGGTAAGTGGTTGCTGTGGCCCATAGACATCTACATCTATCTTCGATTAAGAATCAAAATGCCGATGCGTTGTCACCCATGAGGACTAAGATGGAATGCCTCGTGTCCAGTAAAAAGGGTCTCCGGTTCTCTACACTCACCATATGAAACACAGCAGTGTGAAGCTGCTATTTTACGCTGGTATTCTGTGAGAGCGTGGTCCTTCCCCGGTCGAGCCGACCCATTCGTGCTACAACGATACTATTAATATAGCTGCAGCATGGCTCTACTACGTAAAATATATTATAATAACATATATATATTGAATTGAATTGAATAAACAGGCTGTTTTCCGCAACTCCACATCTAAGCGCGTATTTTGAGTGTGGGCAAGAATAATGTATTTATTCGAACCATGAAATCTCCCCAAAGAAGTTCAACAGTCCTTTAATGTTGCAAGCAAGTTCGGGGAGTGATCTCGGCGTACTGAGATGTTTAGTCCTGTATGCAGTGACTTCCGGACATGTCAGCAACACGTGGGTCACTGCCGTTTCTTGCATGTATGGGACATGCACTGTATATAATTACTGTACAGACTGCTCACTCAACCTACGCACAAAGCCGCTTTAAAATTTTAAAGACAAGTTAGGCTTGCATAATAATATAAGTTACTACATCATACCTCATATCTTAGACTTACTGTGACATCACAGTTACAGTGTAGTGCCTGTGTTAGAAACAGAAACAGAAATTGAATATCCACAACCCCATATAATCTCGTGGGTATAGTAAGATGCGACAGAGGGAAACTGAAACAGGAGATGGACAGCAGAGTCTTTATAATAACAATTAATAATAAAAACTGTGGCAACCAACCTGTTTGCCAAGAATGGCAACTATGGTAAATATCCCTCCTATGAGACAATCTATGGGGGAGGCCTATGTTCAGCAGTGGACTTTAATAGGCTGTAATGGTAACGACATGGTTGTGTAGGTAGGGGACCATGAGGGGTTTATGAGATTTATTGTTATTCAATGTGGAGTTTTTTGATATAAAAAAACTTCCACATAAGAAAATAGCTCATACAAGTGGTATAATTAAAAATTTTGTACAACGGAATTCAATATAAACAAAATGAGAATATCATCAATGTAGTCATAGTCATAGTCAAAGTCAACTGAATATGCATTATTAAGGATAACTCAAAAACTACTGGTCAAATCTTTATCAAATTTATATGGGACCACGTGAGAAGCATCAGCTTTCAAAACAAAAATTGTATGTGTTGTATGTGTATTAATAGTATAGTTGTAGCACAAATTGGTCGGTTCAACCAGGGAAGGACCACGCTCTCACAGAATACCAGTGTAAAATAGCAGCTTAATGCTGCTGTGTTTCATATGGTTAGTGTAGAGAACTGCAGACTCTTTTTACTGGAAAAGAGGCATTCCATCTTAGTCCTCATGGCTGACAACACATCTGCATTTTGATTCGCAAATGAGGACAAATGTAGATGTGTCACACACTATGGGCTAAAGCAACCATTTACGGTCAGGTGGACTGTGTTTGCTTGTCAGCCTTATCCTATAAAAAAAGCTCTATTAATGGATATGAAGTTTTATTAAGTTTGTACAAAAGGAGTGTAAACTAAATTTAACAGTCTTAAAATTTATAATATGGGAGATATTATTAGGTAGAAAATTATATAATTTTATAATATTATGATTAATATTATTAAAAACAGACAGAGAAAACAACTAAAAAAAAAACAATAATGAACTATCAGAGCAAAAAGAACAAAAGAGATGAATCATGGATATTGGATACTTAATTTTGTCATGGATCTATTTACTATACTTACGTTTTGATATGGAGTGCCTGCGTTGAATCTGCAATTAACAAATCGCAGCACAAGACTTGTTTTGCCAACATGCTCACTACCTAATAAAACAATTTTAAAGTCGCATCTGCTCATTTTGATATTATGGATTGTTTACAATAGACGAATACAAATACATCAATGTATCATATTTAAAATATGCTTAAGGGTCAGTTTTAAAAATTGTTACAAAATACGTAAATATTATCTGAGACACACGAATTAAAATTGAGGTTTTTTATTTGTTTGTTTTTTTTATCCCATTTCCCAATTATTGCGATGCGCTTTCTATCTCAATCTCAAGGTGATATGGGCACAGAACACTAATACCCTTAGGCGGGAAGAATGTCAACTTCAAACAAAGAAAATGGCACCCATAATGCACGCCATCTCTGTCGTGCCCCCTAAAACTTTTTGCGCGGTAATTTTGACACGTGATTTTTTTTTAGTTGTTGTCTTGGTTGTTTCGTTTCAAAAATGGCTTAAGAATGTAAAATACCATATAGATAGATATAGCTTGTAGTTTTTCGTTTCAATGATATATATTGCTAAATTAAAACGAAAACAAAAGCACAAAGTTATTTGTAAATTATGGTACTTTACATTCATAAACCACTTTTGAAACGATTAGCAATCATTTTAATATAAAAAAGGAACTATTTTTCAAATAAAAGTGGTTTTTGAAATACATAATTTTTATTTACATTACATACTTGTCTACATTGGTACATAGAAAAACCGTTGGTACATTGATGGACGTAAGTGACGGAGTAATTAACTAATTTTTAACATGGCATATGTAACATGACATTTAAGCAAAATGGAAAGTAAAGGTACATTGGTTTTATATAAAAAAAGATTAGACAATCTAATATAAACACTTTTTTCTAACAAGAAAATATTATTTACCTTCACATTCTACAAACAAGGCAATAGCTTTGCAATATTATGTCTAAACTCCAATAACCTGATTATATTATAGATGCCACCAATAATATTACATTTGTAGAAATTATTTTCGTTATGTTATTGTTATTGACTGCATTAAAAACTAATAAGTCAACATTTTCATGTCATTAATTAGCACTACCTGCTGCAAATCCATCCACGAAAAACAAAAAGGATAAAGATATGTTGATAAAAATGAAATATCATCTGAAAAAATTAACAGGCTTCAAAAAACTGTAAAGCATCTAAAGAATGAAGCATTTCTCAAAGTATTGAGCAAAAATGATTCCGTAAATGAAATATTAAAATGTAAAATATCCCCCTCTTTTGCATTATCTTTGCAAGGAGAATGGCAAAACTATAAAAAAAAATCAAAAGGTCGAAGATGGAACATGGACTCCAAAATAATAGCACTAAGACTGTATAAAAGGTCACCTAGGTGTTACAAATGATTAAGAAGGATGATTTGCCTGCCAACACCTAGTTCATTAAAAGCGTTATTAAGCAAGTTTCATATGAAAGTTGGTATTAATGACCAAATTTTTAATGTTTTGAGTATCTGAGGCACAAGAGAGATCACATACTTTTATTGACTTTAAAGAATATAGTGATCTAAAAAAGTCCCTTAAATACGCCTCTAAAAACCTCATTAACTGTATTGAAAGTAGTACTACGATGATTTATGATGTTTTAGAGGCAGAGGCATATAAAAAAAAAATTAAAAGGGACAATTAAAGTTTTGTTCAAAAACTCAATAAATTTGGAGTTTCTCGATAAATGTCCAGAACATAAAGATATGAATATAGATTACTTATTTAATAGCGTATTTCACATTTGTATGAAGAGATTTTGTATTTTGAAAAATCGGCAATTTGCAGAAGAGTACTCTGCATCTGCTCTTCAAAGAAAAACTGATATCTTGCAGAATAAATAAGATGTTACATGGATATATACGTAATTAACTAATTTTTAACTTTATGCATGTAAACAGTTCTCAACAGCTCTTAACTAAATATCGATTTAATAGTTAAGTAGTTATTATTTATTATTTTTCGATAATACAGGTAGATGTCTAAGTGTCACAGCATTTACTTGCTAAATTCTATAAAAAATACAAATGTATGTGTTATCCATATCCCACAGTAAACTTAAAAGTTAGTTGCATAGCAATACGATTGTTTGTAGGGTGACTAATAAACTATCCGACATTAAACGATAAAAAGACTGTAAGGTATGATTCGCACCAGTAAAGTGATAGTTTCGAAAATACTATATTCGAAATCCAAAAGTGGCTCTATATGGCAAATATTAAAAAAAAAAACTTAAATTTAAATCCTACCTGCCTCACGGAAGCAAGGAATATCTGACCCACTCCGACTAAAACTCTCAGATGTTTCATCTTCACCACTTATCGGCAGGACTACGGGTACACTTTTACACACATCCGTAGCCTCATCAGCGCTAGTCACTCCTTGGCAGCCTCTCTCGAGAGAGGACAAATCCTCCCTCTCCTTTTATCTCCTTATATAATGTCACCACTGAAGTGATTATGACTGTCCATACAGAAAAAGTAGTTCCATGTAATATCTTATTTATTCTGCAGGATATCAATTTTTCTTTTAAGAGCAGATGCAGAGTACTTTTCTGCAAATTGCCGTATTTTCAAAATACAAAATCTCTTCATACAAATGTGAAATACGCTATTAAATAAGTAATCTATATTCATATCTTTATGTTCTGGACATTCATCGAGAAACTCCCAATTTATTGAGTTTTTGAACAAAACTTTAATTGTCGCTTTTAATTTTTTTTTATATGCTTCTGCCTCTAAAAATCATAAATCATCGTAGCACTACTTTCAATACAGTTAATGAGGTTTTTAGAGGCGTATTTAAGGGACTTTTTTAGATCACTATATTCTTTAAAGTCAATAAAAGTATGTGATCTCTCTTGTGTCTCAGATACAAAAATTTTTTTACAAATTTCACATTTGTTGAGATTATTTTTTACTATAAACCCACAGACATAGGCACATGCTTGTATTTCGCCACTGCTTTCTTCCAAGCTACATTCAAATGTAGAATATACACTTTCTTCTAACTCATCGGTTAAAATTGTGGCATAAGCAGTGTGTGTGTCTGTGGGTGGAGACAATAAAGATTTAAAATTTGTCAATATAACTTGATTTTGGTCTTCTTCACAATTTCCTGTCCCAATAAAAGATAAGTTGCCGTTTTAAGACCCGCAACAAACTGCCCAGCAGTGGGATTTGAATTGCAGCCGCAATTGGTCCGAATGCATCCAAAAAGATTTTCTAATGGGTCCTGCTGGAGCCTTCTTGTTTCCAAACTTTTTATTGATTTATGTTTAGAACTGAGATTTCTCCAAATTCGTTCTATTCCATTGATGGACCATATCCAACCTTCTTGGGATGTAGGAGCTCGTTTGCATCCCAAAAACGTCATTTCTTTAAAAAAATTCTTCATTAAAGTGAAATGTGTGAGATGTGGTGTATTATTTGTCATGTTTGTCGAATATGGTTTCCCCCTTCTTAGGTCTGGTGTGCATGCGTTGACACAATCAAACAGCTTGTCCATATTTGCAATAACATTAGCTGTAGTGACAGCCTCTGAAGAGAGTTCCCCTGTAAACAACACATAATTTAAGATCTTACTATTAGGATTAAAGAAACATGATTTAAAGTATGTTACAAGACAACTCAAAAATAATATCACATATCAGTATCACACAATAAACAATAATTTGTACTTGGGAGAGCCTAGTTCCTTTTTAAGTTAATAATTATTTTAATGGGTGGACATATGTTTAAATATTATACTTTAAATTATAAATTTAATTTACCTTGTGAAATTTTAGCATACATTCCTGCAGCAACTGAGTGGCTTAACACTTGTGCAGCTAGCTTCACCTTCATCTTCTGCTCCGTATTTGGATTTAAATGTTCTTGTTTTAAGCAAGGTGCAAACACAAAATTGGGATTGGTGTTATCTGTTTCATAAAACTCCTTTATATGGCTCCATTTAGCAACACCTGTAAAAAAAATTTGTGTAAATATCCAGTAAATTGGAAATATGTATAATATTATGATTGTAATAAAACAAAATATCTTACCAAATCCAATTTGATCATTTGATGTTATATTTGTTGGACATTTAATGTCATATTTTAAAAACATATTTCTAAAGCATTTGAGCAAATGCGGAGTATCAAAAATGGTAACCACTTCTCGATTATTTAGCAGAATATATGGCTGTTCTACAGATGCTCCCAAGATACTTAAAGCTCTCTTATTCACACCATCCATATCACACACTGTAGCTGAAATATTAATTCCAGCATCAAAACAATGTTGCAGGACCTAGAATGATAAAAAGGTAAATGAATAAGGTAAAAAGTACTACTACTTATATTGACATAATAACAAATAAAAGACATGCTCACCTCCTTTATAAGAACTGACAGCCTATCTGCAGTCACAGATCCACTAGAAAAATAATAAGCAATTGGTTGTTTCAGCTTTTTACGGATACCGCCAATCATGAACACGAGGGCATGTGTTGCCATTTGTGGTGACCTACCCTGCAGTGCATGGTCTTGATAACCCTCAATTATGTCCTCCTTTTTGTTGTAAAACAAATTCTTTTTTATTGACATCTCATCAAACATAAGGATATACTCATTGTCTGAGGGAGTCTGTTGCTTTATTGTTTTTTTTTCAAAACATTAAAAATTTGGTCATTAATACCAACTTTCATGTGAAACTTGCTTAACCCGGCGTCATGGGGGTGGAAAATTGTTACACGGACACCGGGGTGGGTCATCCTAACCCATATTTTTGATTTATAATATTTCAATAATTTTAAAGCAAAATATTTATTTCTTGAATAATGTAGGTTTTTTGTTAAAAGATTTAGCAAAAAAAAAACAAAAATATTAATTACAACTACTAAATTACTTTTATTAAACTTCTTTCCAAAATAACTAAAAAAAATCAACAGTTTAATCACATTTTACCTAAACTAACAAAAATAATAATTTTTTTATCAGTCTTGAATGTACTTTGCATTTTTAGGAACTAAGATTATGTGTCTTTTGAGAAACAATCAATAATTTTAATCAGACTCATC